AATTTTTAAAAAATAAAAAGAAAAAGTAAGAAAAAATAATAAAAAAAGAAAAAATACATATTTGAGGACTGGAGAGATAGCTCAGTGATTAAGAGCACTGGTTGGTCTTGCAGAGGACCTGGATTTGTTTCTCAGCACTCACATGTAGGCTAACACTCTTCCTTAACTCAACTCCATGTCTGCGGCACCCCACACCCTCTTCTGGCCTCTTCAGGCATTGCACACATTTATATCCAGGCAGGCAAACATGCATAAACATAAAATGAATTTTTTTTTTTTTATTTTAATATTAATTTTAAGGGTCAAACATTTGTATGCCATAAAATATAAGATTTTTAGTTTGTTCATTTGACTAAGTAAAGGATGAAATTAATTTCACTCAAATAGTTATTTCAGATGGGCTCTGTTCCAGATATTTGACCATGGCCTATTGCATTTTATTTTACTAACAACCCTCTAAGATGAGCACTGTTATTCCCACTTTATGGGGAAATTGAACTCAGAGATGCTAGATATTACAGATTATAACCCACTAAGGTAGCATGCAAACCATGTTTCTAAAACCTCTATGTGCAGGAAATGTGCAGCCCATCAAGCTGGAGGCTGGAAAATTACACCTTGATGAGCCATGAAGATGTAGTCCAGTTGTCTCTAAAACATATATTTGCTGCAGTGTTTTTTGAGAGCTCACAGTTTTGTACAGAATAGGAAAATTTATAGATTTTAATTATCAAGGCACTATTTCATTTCATAGTAGTTAACTGATAATTCATTTATTTCATATTAAACTTAAATGCTTAATTAAATGTAATTAAACTTTAAACATGTAATTAAATTAATTTTGAATATGGGTACTTTACCATGTGAGATTTATTTTAATTTATGAAAAATGCACGCTCATTTCACTGAAGTGAACTTTACTGGTTCATTTATAAAACAATAAAGCCAAGCCTTATAGTTGTCTGTACTTTTCCTGCAATTAAGACTAAAAGGTGTAGTGTGTCCCACTATCATATGTGAAGATGTAACATATAATTTTGTAATTTCTAAAGGCAGTACTGATAATATGTAAAGATTTTTATAGCAAGTAAAACTGAAGGTCATTTGAAATTTGCAGTAATTAATTTAAAATTATTGATAGGTTTCTCTTTAGAGAATGTTCATACATACAGTTTAAATTTTCAAATTAGAGCCTAGGCATAAAAAGTTGACATGTATCACAATATTATTTAGAGAGCTTTAAAGAGCTGAGCCTGTAATCCTAGCACGTGGGATATGGAAAGAGGAGTCTTGGTTACACGAAACACTGTCTCAAACGCAAATCAACAAAGATAGCTTTGATATTTTACTGTCCTCGGTGTCATAAAGTAATAAAACAAGGATTAGGAAGGATGGTTTTTGAGACTAATCTGTAGTTTGTATTTATGTTTAATTCAAC